TTGAAAAAATGATAGGATAAATACTGAAACCAACAAACCAAAGATCATGAAAACAAACCAGCACAAGAGTTTACAAAAATTGTGAACTTCCACTTGCATTCAACAACAATTTCATACTTGGATTTAGCATAATAGTTGATACCAGCAACTTCAACATTTAAAAAATATAACAGTCGTAAAAATTGGAACATGACATTTCCATAGTACGCATTACACTATCACAATATTTCCTCTAAAATAACTTGTTCATGTTAGCCTAGAATACAAAGTGAGACCTAGTTATTGTCCTACACAGAATTCTATTCATGAAATCCACACAACAAGAACATGAACCACTCAAGTAACTATGCCTGCATACCTAGAAGCTTTTGCAAAAGTGAAATGAGAAAAAAGTATGCAACAAAACACAAATGGGAAAGAATTAACACATGAGGCAGGTTTTTTATAATGCCCTTAAATGTGTGCCATTTCACTGTTAGTAATTCTGACAGAACTGAGTTTGGAATAAAATTATTGGTGCTATGTAATGATGTGAAACAAAGTAGTGAACTTAGCTTTTATGTTTAGTGAGTGTTTTAAGTACTCATGGTCTTTTTTCAAAAAGCACCTAGGAAAATTTCAATGAGTGACAAATGACAATTTAACTGCAGCAGCTCTGTGGGGTGGGGTCAATACCAGATCGCTTGGTGATCCAGAGGCGGGTGAACTCTTCAGAGACGGTGGGGTGGATTCCAACTGTGTCCATAAGAACTTCCATTGTAAGTCCCATCCTGCAAATTCAAAGAAATTAATAAAGATCCAAGGAAAATTCAATTTTCAAAAGTAAGTATGAGGCTTACTTGATAGCTGCTGCGTATCCCTGAATAACTTCTCCTCCCTGAGGTCCAGTGTAGTGCATGCCAAGAACCTTCTGTGGTGCTGCTCTCAGGCAAACCACCTTCATGTAGCATCGTGCCGGGCTACGCTGAGGTACAAAGAACTCAGTGGGCTTGTAGAATGCATGATATACCTAGAGGATAAGATTTCAAATGAATTTCTATATTTCACAAAGGTAAGTGATTTCTCTTTCAAGGAGGAGACAAACCTCAATGTTATCATCTCCATGCCTCCTGATGGCCTCCTCTTCACTAAGTCCACAGCAGCCGTACTCCAGAGGAGTGAAAACTGTAGTGGCAACATTATCGTAGTCCATTTCAATTTTACCATTGTTATAGAGGCGCTGAGCCAGAAGTTTGCCAGCTTGAATAGCCACAGGAGTCAACTCTGGTTTACCCTATAATAATAATAAAAGAATTTAGATAATGAAGCATGTAATTGAAATCAGAATGCTCAACCTGTAAATAGGATTAAGCCTACCTCCAGAATATCTCCAACAGCAAAGATGTTTGGAATATTTGTCAACTCCTTCTCACTGACAACCTTCTTGGATTCAGGGTGTAGTTTCACTCCAACCTGATCAGCCTTGACCTCCAAAGTTAGGGGACGACGGCCAGTTGCCATTAAAACAGTATCAAACAAGTCGGATGATTCTGAATTATTCTGAAATTGTAAGAAGCTGCAAGTTAGTATAAACAACTTTGAGTTTTGCAGTAAGATACAAAACAGGATACATACTTCAAGTGACTTCCAGGTAACTTTAATTTTGCCATCAGCTTGCTTATCCATACGAACAGGTACAGTTTTGTGGAGGAACTTGACACCACGGGATTTCATTTCCTCAGAGATGAGACCTGCCATCTGCTGGTCAAATCCACGCAGTACAGTGGATCGCACCATGACGGTGGCATCCATTCCGAACTCATTGAGGAAACCAGCACACTCAAGACCAATGTAACCAGCTCCAATAACAAGGGTCTTTCCAGGAGCCTCAGGTAAACTGAAGATGTCATCACTAGTGATGCAATTTTCTACTGCACCAGGAATATCAGGGTAAATAGGTCGGCCACCCATTGCTAAGAGTACATGCTCAGTCTTCAGCTCACGCTCAGATCCATTTTTGAGCTTAGCATGGACAGTATGAGTATCAATGAGCGATCCCCGAGCATTAATATATTCAACTTTCCTGCAGAGGAAAAACAGAAGTGTTAGGATACGAAATATATGAGATGTTTTCAATGAGAAGATTTTGTTGTACAAACTTACTTATCCCTCAGCTCAACTCTAAGAACCCAATTGACAGATTTGATGTGGTTTTGTACTGATTCCCTCAGTTTAGCCCAATCCAGGGAAATAGATTTCCTTTCAGGAATGTTCCAGCCAAAGCAGCCAGCATCCTGTAGAAAAATAGAAGATTACTAAAATGTTCAGTATTATGAGAAGAATGAAAATGTATGGAACACTCACATGGAGGCTCTCTCCGAGGAGGGCAGCCTGGTGGAACAACTTCTTTGGAATGCAGCCAACATTGACACAAGTACCACCCAAACCCCATGTGGTACCACGGGGTGAAGGATCAACAAAGTCTAAAACAGCTACTTTCTTTCCAAGAGAGACAGCCTCCTTAGCAGCAGCCAAGCCTCCTGAACCACCACCAATGACCACCAGGTCATAATCAAAACCGTGCGAACCTGAAAAAAACACCAAAAGAAGTTGAAAGGATTTCATAACTTTTATCTTAGCACAACGTCAACAGCTGTCATTGCCTGCGGAACTTTAAAACAGAGGGGGAAGTTGGGACGTCTTAACCTCCAAGAGCGCACTAGAGGTAGCCATGACACAGCGGAACGCTCAAGGCCACGGAGTTCCACTAATTTACGATGACGAAATTTCTCGTCATTAGACCGCGTCACTTTCCAGAACAACCCAAGTCACGCTGACGGCTCGCTCGTCGCAGGAACCATTCAAGGTTAGGACACTGGAGTAGTCAATGACAGGGGCTTACTTCTCGAGCTGGTCGATGCGAAGCGCTGGGCAGTGGACCGAGCTTTTCTTCGAATCAAAACGAACTCTACCTCTCCCGGACCGTTCAACCCTAGGAGCCTGGAGGCGAAATTGCCCGCAAGTCGTCTCGAAGCGAGAAGCGCCATACTTGCAGCTGCAGCCTCTCAAAATTCCCCCTATCTGCCCATCTGCCAACTCGCGTTCCGAATTTCCCCAGGAGAGGTCGTTGCGGTGGTGGCAGTCGCTGGCGGCCGTAGCAGTAGTAGCAGGCGTACTACTTGACGGGGAGGACACCGCTGGCGCTCGGAGAGGTTATCTGCCCGCCCCAGTCGTCCGATAGAGAACCGAGCCCAGCAGAGTGCGGACGCAAACAGCAGGGTCAGCGCAACATGAAGTCCGTCCTCATCACCGGGTGCAACCGCGGCCTGGGGCTGGGCCTGGTGCAGC